GTGCGTCGGTCCCCACCGCCCGCTGCGCCCCTGCCTGCCGCCGCCGCCAACCACTGCCGCCGCCGCCACTGCTGCTTCTGCTGCTGTGGCCGTTGCTGCCAAGACTGAGGGAGAGAAAAGAGCCGGGAAGCATTTCTCCTCCCTCTCTCCTCTCCTCTCCTCTGCTCTTCTCTTCTCTTCTCTCTCTCTCTCTCTCTCTCTCTCTCCTCTTTTTAAACCAGGCGAGAATGAGTCTGCAGCAATCCTGTTGGTGCAAAATAAATAAATAAAGCAACCAGGGAGCTGCAGCAAATGCACCTACAGGAGCGGGGAGGAAGGAGGAGGCGGCCTTGCCGGGGAGGGGTCTGCAGTCTAGGCCACAGCAGGGGGATCCCCACAGGTTCTCTCCGGTCTGGAGAGCTACAGTCCTGGGACCAACCTCCTTCCAGGGGATTGTGGTCTTTTAGTCTCGCAGGTGCAGGGCAGTTCTGTGCCGCCTCTAAATCTGAAAACCCCCACTCGTATCATTTGTGGGAAAGTTCTCAGTCCACAACACCCGCTGTGGAGCTCAGTATGAGGTAACTTCAGTGGGGTTACTCACTAGCCTCACCGGGGCGCCGCTAGGCCTGGGGGGGAATCCCAGAGGCTGGAATCCTTAAACCGCTGATGGATCTCTGAGTCCATGAGAACGAGGCTGGACAGCAGGCTTGTAGGTCGTTATCTTTTGGTGGTCCATCATATGCACGCACGCACGCACGCACGCACGCACACACACACACTTTTGCCTTTAAAATCTTTTTTTTTTTGGTACTGGGGATCGATCTCGGGACCTTATACTTGCAAGGCAGGGACAGTGCCACTGAGCTAAATCCCCAACCCATCTTTAAAATCATTTCATAAGGAACGGTACACATTGGATCTTATGTTTACCCAGCTAAACCCCTCCCCTGAGAGAAGAAAAAAATTATTTTCCTATCGTCTGCTGTTTATCTCTCCCAGGAGAGTCCACAGCTACTTATAAAGCTAAGGGAAGTTTGGGGCAAGATCACAGCAGGAGAAATAGGTCCTGCTCCTCCTCACGCAGGAGTCGGCAGCCCCCAGCTGCAGAGAGGTGGCACATCGCAGCTTTCTTTCTCCACTGTGAGAGCAGTGCTGGAGGCCAGGGTGAGGAGGCCCCCCTTGCACTGTTACAGCCTTCTGGTCAACCCCGGGGGGGGCTTGCTGTGCATCCCCAGGTGTTCTTGTGATAGAGCAGCTGGAGGTTCCATGGGGTTAGGACCACCCCAGTGTAAGCCTGGTGGCAGGGGCACCATGCGGACGTTCCCAGGTGGGTGTCCCTTCCCTCGGTCACTAGGACTTTCCGAGTCACCGTGTCATATCACGAGTGGCTGTAGAACCACACGCTTGCAGGTTGACGTGCGTGCTTCCCACTGTACGCGAACGTGTGTGTCTGGTCAGACTTGTGCCAGCTCCTAAGATCTATTCTTAAAGTGCCTGTAGTAAGTCTGAGTTCCAGCCCTTGCATCCGTCTGTGGCGCCCTTGGCCTCCATTGTACCCTCTCCCACACCCACACCCTTTGACACAGTTACCCCTGGTCCCTCGCCCCGTCCCATCCTCACCCTCCACATACTCAGGGTTTCAGACCCCAGGAAAAAGGCAGGTGCCCAGCAACTTCTTTGCTCAACTGAGAAGCAGGCGGAAGGCAGCGCGACTAAGGATCCAGATTCGTGTTGTGTACAAGCCCTTCCGGGGTCTCGCCCCAGTCTCTGAGCTCGATCCATCTCCCCAGCGGAAGCACCCGGGGAAGTACAATGAGGTATTTCAAAGGCCTGTTCTTAGCTTCTGGGCCCAGAGTTGAGATCTCCTCATCCAGCGTGCGCTGGATTCTCGTTTTCTTGAGGACACCTTGGCCCCCCTACAGGTCCTCATGTCCCACCCACTCCACCCTCCCAGAAGCCGGGATGGAGGCTGTGGGAAAGGAGCCGGAACAAGGCTACTGTCCCTCTGCCGGGCAAGTCTGGGGGCAGAGAACCATCCCAGCATTTGCTCATCCCCACCTGCCCAGCAAAGGGTGTGGAGAAGGCTGGAGAATGGGCCGAGGGTGGAGCAGCGTCTTGGGAAGCGGGCCTGCCGGCCAGGCCAAAAGGAGAAAAGAGCATCCCCGGGCTGGGGATTTGGCTCAGTAGTTCCGCAACCTGCCCCCCAAGCACAAGGGCCTGAGTTCAACCCGCATACCAAAAAAAAAAAAAAAAAAAAAAGCATCCCCTTCCAGGTCACTGGGACAGCCCCTCGGGGGACTCGATTTCAGTGCTGAAGAGCTCCTTGTAGAGTGGCGGGAAAGCAGCTTGGACCACGATGGGGTGGAGGTGCTGGAAGACTTGCAGCTTCTCGAGGTGCTGGCTGCAGAGGCTCCGCAGTCTTCCCTTGGGCGGCAGCTGCAGCGGGTTAATGCGGAGGGAGGGTCAGTCCTTCAGGGCTCTCCCCAGGGCCCTTGCGGGGTTGGGATGACCCTTCCTACTTTCTTCCTACATGCTTGGCCCTTTGGGGTCCCCGAACCCTCGGGTAGAAGCCCCCAGCTATGTTCCTGCCACTCCTAAAGCAGACCTTGCTCACGGCCCTTCCTCTTTGTTCACCTTGCTCCCTCATCTGAACGCCTTTCTTGCCCTTTCTCGCTTGGCCAATTCTTATTCAGCGAGTCACTGCCCCAGGAATATTTATCTCCCAGCTGCTCCATGCCCTGTCTGGATTAAAGGCCCTTCCTGTGGACTTCCCTCTGTACAGCACTGACTGCACCGTAGGAAAAGGGTCCAGTTTGTCTGTCTTCCCAGGCTACATTTAAACTCCTCAGGTACGGCCTGCCTGCCTGTCTGTACATCCGTACCCGTTACAGTGCTTGGCACATGCCAGCGCTCAGTACTGTTGGAACTAAACGGACTTCCTAAGCAGTTTCCTAGCACTGCAAGTATAAGCCAACCCTGCCAGCCCTCAGCCAGAGGGCAAATGGAAAGGGCCCCGAAAGCCAGGCACAGGGGTGTCCACCCTTAACCCCGGCCCCTCAGGAGATGAGGCAGGAGGACTGCAAATTCCAGGCTAGCCTGGGCAATTCAGGGAGATGCTGTCTCAAAATAAAATTTTAAAAGAGGCGGGGATGTAGCTCAGTGGGAGAGTTCTTTCTTAGCATGCATGAGGCGCTGGGTTCAGTCAATCAGCACTGGAGAAAAAAAAAAAAAAAAAAAAAGAAGAGGCGCAGAAGCCCGTACGGAGACAAGGAGTGACAGACACCTCTTGGAAGAAAGGGTGGAAATACAATTTATCTTCTGCAATATCCTGTATAACCAAGTGAGGCTTAAAAATGCCTTCATAGCTCTTGAATTCAATTTTTTTAAGTCCTATTTTTTGGTACCGGGGATTGAACTCGGGCCCTTGCGCTTGTGAGGCAAGCACCAGAACCACTGAGCTAAATCCCCGGCCCCTAGTAAATTTACAGTCTAACAAGGAAACCAGAAAATAAACAAAAACGGTGAAATGCCACGCGGCAGTGTTTCCGGAAATGACGAATAACATACATCAGATCATACTGTTAGCTGCCTTCGCGTGTGTGCGCCCTGAGGTCCCTTTACCAGGAAGCTGCTACGTGACTGCATAATACCGTGGATGCGTTCTCTACAGGAAGCTAAGGCAGGGTGAAGGACATGGGGCTCATGGCACAGGGCGACTGGTTAGGGACAACCGCTCCCCAGTGTTGGAGCAAGCCTTTCAGAAAACGGGCGGGAGAGCCTTCCGGCAGGCACAAAAGCCCTGAGATGCAGCTGGCCTTGATGTGCTCAAGGGACAGCAGGGATGTGGGGGTGGTGTGGACGAGTGACAAAGGGGGCACGTTGTGGCTGTGTCTGTGTCCCTGCACAGCCTCGTGAATAGATGGGGCTTTGTGGAGGTGGCTGGATCCGGAGCCTGCAGTGCTGGGATCACTAAATCATCCCCCTGGATGGTTTGGTACCGTTCTGGATAGGAGTAAGGCTGTCCCACCCTGGGGATGAGTGCTGCCTGCCCTAAGGACAGAAAGAGGGCTGCTGCTGGTCACTTGTAGCTTGCTGCCTGCTGCCTTCTGCCCATGAACTGTCGCTCCCTCTCCACGCCCCTCCGCTAGGCTGCCCTGCCTGGAGCCAGCCAGCTATGGACTGAAACCTCTACACACCGTGAGCTACAAGAAAACCTTTCCTCCCTTAACTTTGGGTGTCAGGTATTTTTGTCTCAGCGAAAATAAAAATTAGCTAGAACAGGGCAGCAGGAGATGAGGCAAGAAAAGAAGCCCAGTGTTATCTCCAGCCTGGTTGGCCGTGGCACAATAGTGGTGTGCACCTCAGCGTGATAGGGATCTACAGGGGGGTGGAGAACCAGACGGAGGGGGGCTGCCTTCCTTCTAGGGCCATGGTGGGTGCTGAGGAGGTGCCCTGCAGCTGCAACCCGGCCGACAAGGCTGGAGCAGGGGCCCGGGCAGGAGCCTCACGAACGGACCCTGCGAGAGGTACTGTTTCGAAAGTGGATCTGGCCACATTCGCGAATTGGCCCAATAACACCCTGATCATGTGGTTCCTCTCCACCCTGGGGCTGCCCAGTGCCTGGAAGCAAAGGCCTGACTCTCATGTGGCCCTGAGAGTCCCCCCTGGCTTTCCTCCCACTTAATTCTCAGCCCTGACTCTTGCTACCCTCCTCCTCGTCCATCTGCCCTGGCTCCTGATCCTTTTCACTCTTCAGTGAAAAGGTGCCACGAGCTCTTCTCCATGCTTGCATCGCTGTTACTGCCATTATCGCTATTATTATTATTATTAATTATCGTCAGTACTAGGGATTGGACTCAGGATCTTTGCACTGAGCTACATCCCCAGTCCTTTTAAAAGATTTTTATTTTCAGATGGACCTTGCTAAGTTGTTTCAACTTGCAGTCCTCCTACCTCAGCCGACAGAACACTGAGATGTGGGCAAGAGCACCACACCTGGCCACATGCACATTATTTTATTATTATTATTATTGTTATTATTATTATTAGTATTTGTACCGGGGATCGAACTCGGGTCACTGAGCTAAATCCCTGGCAGCATGTGCACTATGTTGCCCCCTTTTTATTCACATCGTTCTCTAAGCCTGGGATGCCTGTCTCCTCATGAATGTCAGTCGTCTTTCATGGCCTTGTCTAAATGCCATTTTCTCTAGGAAGTGTTTGAGATCCACTCTTTTACCCTCAAATTGCTTTGAATCCCCATTCTCTGCCCTCATGATATTTTTCCAAAATCTTTTATGGTAATATATTGGGTGTATGGGGATATGGTGGAAAGAGAACTAGGACTAAAATCTGCATTTGTCTCTTCATGAATCACATAAGTCACAAAAGTCTCCTTATTTGCTACAAGGCATTTTTTTTAAAATGATAACAAGAACTGAACCCAGGGCCTTTGCACTGAACTACATCCCCAGCCTTTTAAAATTTTCTATTTTGCGATGGAGTCCTACTGAGACACTAAGTGCCTAGGCTGGGTTTGAACTTACAGTCCTCCTAACTCACCCTCCTGCAGTGCTGCGAATTACCAGGCATCTACCCTAATGCCCAGCAGGACAGGGGAATCTTACCACTAGTCCTACTGACTGGGTTGCCATGAGGAGAAGAGTACCTAACAGCGAAAGCACTGTTAATCACGTCATTATACTACCCCATATCGCGCTCTAAGATAGCGTTATATTAAAAGGTACATGAGACTCTTTGGACCAGATTAAAATCAGTTGGTGGGTACAACAATGAGTCTGTATCTTTCCACAGTGCCTCGCACAAGCAGGTGCTGGCTAAGAGTTGGCTTCTATTAAACGGAATTGCTCCCTGGGCGCCTTGCCGTTCCAGGCTCTCTAACTTCCCGCCTCTACACATGTGGAGGGAGCCGCTCACCCCGCAGCTCCACCTGACTGCGGCCTCCGACCCTGCCTCTGTCCCCGCAGCCCCGCGAGACAGATCTGGCCGGGGCCTGGCCCCTTCTGCCCCGGGGGCGGCTCCTACCTGTGCCAGGACGCCTTGGCGATGAGTCTTGCAGAGATGATGGTGAAAGGCCAGCTCCAGACTGCACTGCAGCTGTTCCACTTTCCTCTTCTCCTGGAGCCCTGGCCGGTCTGAAGGGGGCGGGGGACGAGGTCAGAGCGAGAACAGAAAGAACACGGACACTCATTTCCAGCAAAAACAAGAAGGAGGGTGCTTGGCTCTTTTTGGTGACCTGCGCCGAACAGGCCTTCCCAGCCCAGTGCGTGCGTGCGTGCGTGCGTGCGTGCGTGTGTGTGTGCGTGCGTGTGCGTGCTGGCGTGACAAGGGTTAAACTCTGGGATCTTGGCGTTGGCCAGCTGTCTACAGGAAACGGGAGAAATGAAAGGGATGGCAGCTTCCCAGCTCCCAACTCCAGCTACCTGCTCCCAGTAACCTGGTGTTTCACAGAAACCGTGTGAGGCTAGGGATTAGGGCTCGGGCACGGGGAAAGGCTTGGGAGAGTTTCTGCTACTCGTACAAGAATGGCTCTGGGTAGTAATGGCTTCCGGAAGCCCCTCTGCCCTCGTCTCTGCAGCAAGAAGTCCCTCGCTAACTCCAGCACCCAAACCACGTTCTTCCTTGATTCCCTAAAACACCCGAAACTCATCTTTAATGCCTTCATCTCCAGATCGAGGGCTGTGTTTAGGCCTCTATTTATTGTTAGGGCCCAAAAGACGGATTCTGTTGATCTGCAATCTCAGGTCAGCAGCCAGGCCGCTTCCTTGGGTTCACCGGGGTCTGCCCAGCCTGCTCCAGGCCGAGTCGGCCACTGCAGGGAAATCTCAGAAGTTCCCTCAGAGCAGAGACTCTCAGAGGTGACCTGGGAGGTTGTTAACAGTCCCAGGGCACCCCTGATCAACTGTGCCGTGATCTCCAGAGTGGGGACCCAGGACACACAGTGTTTAGGTTCCTCACGTGGATCCAAAGTGCATTCAAGGATCCCTGACCAGCAACAATCAGGGTCACCTCTGCCACATCTATAGCCCCCCCCCGTGCCCTGCTCCCAGTGCTTCTGAATCATCATTTTTTGGGGTTTTTTGAGACAGGATCTCACTATGTACTTGAGACTGACCTGGAACTCACTACTTAGTCCAGGCTGATCTCAAACTCATAGCCATCCTCCTGCCTCAGCCTCCTGAGTGCTGAGATTACAGGGGTGCGCCACCACTCCCGGCTCTGAATGTCATTTTAACTCACTGGATCTCACAGCAATATTGAGCAGGGCTCATTCTGCTGTTTCAAGCACTCTCCCAGACTGAGCACATCCGAGAGCCCAGACTTCAGCGTCTCGCGGTGCCCCCGCCCCCTGGGAGTTCTGTCCCCATGCCTGGCAACACTCACTGGCGTTGATGAGAACAAGGGCCGTGTACAGGGCAATCTCGTCCTCGGAAAGGCGCAGGGCGCTCAGGGAGTGGGAGAAGTCAAAGATGGAGCCGATCAGCTCGCCGCAGCCTGAAGGAGTGGAAACAGAAGAGTGAGCCAGGCGGCCTGGGACCCCGCGCTCTGGGTGACCGGGGCAGAGGGCCGGCCTTGGACTCGCTGTCATTCCCCTGCCCCTCACCCAAGGCTCGGAACAGCTCCACGCCACCGTATTTGCCTTCAAAAAAGACTGTGTGGTTGTCGGCGTTGTAGGCGCGGCACATCCTAACCAGCACGACTTCCATGGCTCCTGTAGCAGGGCGGAAGAGCCGGTCGGATGGGGTCAGGCAAAGCGGGGCTTCTCGAGCACCCTCAGTGTCCCCCCTCGTTCTGCTTGGCTCCGTCCCGGGCACCTGCTTTCAGTAGGATGATCTGGTCGTTCTGGCAGAGCTCCATGAAGCCGGAGAGCCGCTTGGCAAACTCCACCACGTGCTGGATGGCCTCGGTGAGGCGGTGGGCACAGCGTTCCCACATCTCCCACTCGGACTGCGGGGAAGGGCACCCCTGCACTTTCTGTAGGGCCCTCCCTAACGAGCCGCAGGGCAGGCTCTGAACTCTCAACACTGGCTTATTTCTTCCTTTATCTGTGCGGTGCTGAGGATCAAACCCAGAGCCTTAAGCATGCCAGGTTAGCGTTCTACCACTGAGCCACCCTTCAGCCCAACCCTGGGTCGTGTGTGTGTGTGTGTGTGTGTGTGTGTGTGTGCATGCGCGCGCGCGGGCATGCTGGGATTGAACTCAGTGAGTGTGGAGTGACAGTTTTATTTTGCGACAAGTTTTTGTTAGGTTGCCCAGGCTAGCCTAGAATTCGCTATCTTCCTACCTCGGCACCCCAGTAACTGGGATTACAGCTGGGTGCCACCCTCCCAGCAAAGGGACATACCCGAGGTCTTAACCACCTAGAGAAGCCATGGGAAATGCCAAACATGTGCCTTCAGAGCGGGTGTCATTGTCAGAATGTGACTGGAGACACTGCATAAACCTTGGGGCCCGATGGACCTGAATTTCACTTTGTTTCCACAGCGTTGTGACCTTGAGCATTTCTTTCAACCCCTCTAAGCTCAGTTTCCCAATCGACTAAAAAGGAATAAAAAGGGCTGGGTATTTAGCTCAGTGGCATGGCGCCTGCCTTGCAAGTGCAGTTTGATCCTGAATTTGATCCTGGTATCCACCCCCAAAAAGGAATAAAGAGACAGGTGTGGTGATGCATTCCTATAATCCCAGCACTCTTGGAGGCTGAGGCAGGAGGATCGCAAGCTTGAGCCAAGTGTGGGCAATTTAGCAATTTAGCAAAATCCTGCCTCAAAATAAAAAATTAAAAATAAAAGGTTGGGGATGTTGATTAATGCAAAGTTCCTGGGTTCAATCCCCAATTCTGGGGAAAAAATAAAAAAAGAATAAGGGCCGGAGAATATAGCTCAGAGGTAGAATATCTGCCTCGGATGCATGAGGCCCTGGGTTTGACTCCCATTTCCCCTCCACCAAAAATTTTTTAAAAATGTTTTAAAAACAGGAATAAGTGCCACTCTTACAGTTTGTTGAAAGAGTGGATAAAAATCTGTGTATGGCGTTTAGCGCAGTGCCTGGCAGGGAAAAGGTGTTTCACCGAGAGTCGCTGGGACTCTGATCATTGCTGGTACTGGTAGGAAGGAAGAGGGCTGCAAGCTGTGCAGAGATTTTGTGGACAAGGCCTAAGGAAAAGTCTTCACCCTGCTCTCAGGCTGTAGACCCACACAGACACCAAAACGCACTGAATGGGGGCACCCACACTTTTGGGGGGCCAGCGTCCTCAGCCCGGCCCTGGTGCCCCGCACGAGCAGACAGCCTCTCTGGACCCCCAGGGGTGGCGGCCCTGCCTCCTGCGGCCCCGGCTCACCTTCCTCTGGTAGCTGCTCACCTCCTCCCGGGAGAAGAGGTTGGCGCGCTGGCGCAGCAGTTCCTCCAGCCGCAGCTGACAGGTCTCCCGGTAGGATTTGCACACGTTCTGCACCAGGTGCTCTGGGGCCAGGGAAGAGGCGCTGCTTGGTCTGGGGCGGCCCCTTCCCCACCCCTTTCGAGGACACCTCTCTGCCTGCCCCCTACGCGGCTTCCTCCGACAGCTCCTTGTCGGGGTCCCCGCAACTCCTGGGGATTGTTTAGCTGATGTGGGGTGCTAGGGGGATCCCCCTTGTGCTCACCACCTCCTCAGCCTCCCCAGCTGCTCACCAATCTCTGTCAGGGAGGCGTACGGTGCCTCTGGGGTGCTGCAGAAGTTGTCCGGGCCCTGTCCTGGTCCCCCAAGCCCGGGGTGCCTGGGTCCCCCAAAATGAAGTCCACACCTGCCAGGAGCAGGCTGGCTGCCCGTGCTGCAGGCCCCCTCGGCCTTGCCCTGCTCCGGGCTGTACTCCAGGCGGCAGGGGGCCCCGCCGAGCTCTGTTTTGGCCGAGGTGTGAGAATAGGACAGCCCGGAGCCTGAGGCCCTCAGGAGGCCAGGGGGACAGGCGGACGCCTCGGGCAGGTCAGGAGAGGACCCCAGGGGCAGCTGCCCGTCAGGGAGCCCCAAGCTGTAGGTGAGGGTGTCGGCTCCACGGCCCCCAGTCGGAGCGGTCTTGGCCGCTTGCTCCCGTTGCAGCTGCAGCTGCTGCTGCTGCTGTAGTTGCTTCTGCACCTCGGCGTGCAGGCTGTCCCTCTGCTTCTTGGACATGCGGCCGAACTTGACAGCTGCAGGAGGTCCAGGTGTCAGGAGGTGAGGAGGCAGAACAGATTCGGGGTGGGGGCAGTGCAGGGCACCAGCCCCAAGCCCACATTCTGTCTTTGCCCCAGAACCACCTCCCCGGATTTGGGAGCTCGGGCCCATTTCTCCACCCAGCCCTCACTCTCGTCCCCTTTAGAATGTGTCCGGCCGCCCTTTCTGTCTCCTGGGCGCTCTCTGAGTTCCAAACCAGCTTTGAATGGCAGCAGAATTCCAGCCAGGGCCTGGGCTGTGGATCCTGGCCTCCCCGGATTGGGGCTTGGGGACACTGGGCAGGGGGCCTCGGGCTGTATTGGGGTCAGCACGCCTGCCTGGGAGGGCCAGAGGAAGAGAAGGGCTGAGAACACCGTCTCCCTGTGGTCAGGCCTGCAGGCTCCCCGGTGACCTAGATACTCACCACAGCCCAACCCAGGCTCCGTGGCTTGCTTCTGACATCCTCTTCTGCTCTCTTTCCTGCCTTTTGCTCCCCCCGCCACCCCTCCCAGGTGTGGGGGCACAGCCCCTCGCCCCGCCTGCCCCTGGTACCCCTGCATGTTTCCTTTCGCTTTGTTATTTTGAGCACTGAAAAGTGCTGACAGGCTCCTTCTGATTCCTCATCACCTCCTCCCACCCCAGCTCCTTCTGCGGTGGGAGGCGTGGGGGGACCGGCGAGGAAGGCGAACGAGGCACGGGAACACAGCCCCCCGCCTCCCTGCCTTCTGGTGGCTCGGGCCATCGGGACCCATTCCTGGCCACCGCCTCTATCCTAGGACGGGAAGCGGGGAACAGGGGGACGGTGCAGCTGAACTGGGGTGCTGGAGCAGGAGGGAAAGATGTGGGACTTGATGGCCGCTGGGTCAGAGGCGAGCAGTGGGAGAAGAACGCGTCCCGCGGAACAAGAGGCCCTGGGCTGGGCGCTTGGGGAGGGGTTCGTTGGGGCAGAGCCTCAAGACTCCACAGAGCTCGGAGGCAGGGACCCCCGAGAGCAGAGTCCCACGGCTGTGCAGACGAGGCGTGCAGCGGGGCGGCTTAGCAGGCCAGGCTGAGCCCGGGAGACTCCAGGGAACCCCGGGGCTGCCCGCGTGGCCTCACCGTCTCGGGACATGCCCAGTGCCAGGCACTTCTGTAGGCGGCAGTGCTGGCATCGGTTGCGGCTGGTGCGGTCGATAGGGCAGTTCTGCTGCCGGGTGCAGGAGTAGGCCGCGTGACACTGCTGGCTCCGGCGGAAGAAGCCCTGGGGAGGCCAGCGCGGGGCTAGGACCGCTCCTCCCCGCCAGGCCTGGCTCTGTCCAAAGGCGCCGGCCCCCCCGCTCTTCCACACCCTGCGGCCCACCCTCCGTTTTCTCGCCTCCGTTTCTTTGTGTCCTTGTTGTTTGTCCTGCAGTGGCTTCCCCAGCTCAGGACGAGGGACTCCAGGGAGGTGTCATTTGGACAGCTCCCTTGCTGTCTCTGGAGACCACGAGCCCTGGTCCTCCACTCTGAAGACGGCACGTGTGTCTGTGTGTCTTCGTGTCTGTGTGTGCGCATACGGATCCCTACAACTCACCTTGCACCCCTCGCAGGTTATAACCCCGTAGTGGATCCCAGATGACTTGTCCCCACAGATTTTGCAAGGGATCACTTCAATTTGTGCTGGAGGAGAGAAAGAAAAGTAGGTCGGCCCAGGAGGCTTTTCCACGGCGTGCTGCCGTGCACCTGGGCTGCACACACGGGTCGTGGTGCGTCCCCAGCTTCTCCCGCCAGCTCGGCCTTGCTGTTTCCCTCCTGCAAACAGTGGAAGGGGAAGTGTGGTGACAGGTGGCCCTCCGCAAAGGCTCTAAGGAGCTGCGTCTGTTCACAGAGAAGGGGCAGCCAGGAGTTGTCCCAGCTTTACCAGATAAGGAGAACAGCTGCAGGGGGCCACCTGCTCGGGCCTGCGAGTTGAAAAGCTCCAGTCGCCCCCTCCCACCCTGGTCCGCGCAGTCCCCACCGCCTCACACCTGCTTCCCGCCCTGGGGCTTCCTTTGTGCCTCCCTCCCCCTCTGGGGCTGGGCTCCCATGGGCAGAGTGAGGGGCATGGCAGGAAGATGAGGTACACCGGGCAGGAGACAACTCCGGCCGGCCTCAGCCAGGGGCTGCGCAGACCGGGAGCCCAGAGGGGATGCAGGGAGCCGGGCAGAGGGGTGCCCTAGAGCCCAGGGCAAGAAGCAGGCAGGGTTCCTGGGTCCGTGGCTCCAACATGGAGAGGGCTGGCTGTGCGTGTGTGGGTGTGAGGGCATCTGTGTCCAACCGTGTGAGCCCAGACCCTGGCTGCTGAACTGGCTGAGATTAGAGACCCTCACCACCCGGTTGCTGGGTGGACGAAGGGAGGGCGGCCGACCCGTGCACACAGCTATCTTACCTGTGAGCTGGGCCTGCCCCCGGGTTCCCCTGCACTGTCCCCAATGCTGCTCTGCGCTATGGCCCTGCCAACGCCCAGGGCTCTTGGCTGAGTTTCAAGGGACCAGCAGGACTTCTCCAGCCTGTCATCGAAAGGCAGCCAGGCAAAGCTTGGGGTCCTGCCTCCTGCAAGTGTTTTCAGCACTTTCAAGGACACGTGGAAGGTCTCCTTTCCACCATCGTGGACCTGCTGCTTCCCCGTGGAGTGGCCGGGTGGAGCAGTCCAGAAAAGCGGCCAAGAGCCAAAGCCGCGTCTCATCAGGATAGGTGTCCCACCTTAGGGGCAGAGGAGGTGCCCGCTGGGGGCAAACCCACAGTCCTGTGAGCTCACCTCCTGCCCCAGGACTGACCCTGCCAGTGCCAGTACATTGGAGAGGGAGACCAAGGCCTGCTCGCGTCCTAACACCCGTCCCACCATCCCCAAAGCAGCATCCTCTCTGGCCAGTCTGGAGCTGCATCAGGGTCGGGAGCTGTCTCCTCCAGGGGCCGGGGCACACACACGTCTGAAACCCTTCCATCAGAGCCCCCGTCCTCCTCCCACACACAGCCACATTAAGCCGTGGTCACCTGAAGACCAGACGGCAAGTGAGCCTTTCAGATTCTTTCCAGGAATTATGAGCAGATTCCAACGCGCGGATGGGTAGAGCGTGGAGGGTGCCCGGAAGAGGGGTGCAAAGTGTGGGGACCCTCGCACTTCTTATCACTCACACTCTGTCCGGGCCTCAGCTCCCTTGGTAATGAGGTGAGGATAAAAATAATATCGCCTGCCCGGTGACTCTAGACGGCACAGTGGTTACACCACGTCACCGCGGAGGGCAGGGCACTGCGCCTGCCAGTTACTGCTGACTGAGGCACAGCACAGGAGCCTGCGGGCATGGTGGGCTGCCCAGGGGCCCCACAGATTCTGCTCCTGCCCGGCACCCGCCCCCAAAACTGTGGTATCTCTCTCTTCAGTGGGCCTAAGAGCAGAGAGGGGGGAAACCAACATGGGTCACCCAAAAAAGCAAGCAGGAGAGAGATTAGGCCAAGCCACGGTGGGAACTCAGGCTCTGGCCCAAGAGTGAACCACAGGCCTCCCTGCCTGTTCCCTTCTCCAAGAGCCACATCCGCATGCGTGTGTGCGCTGACCACACGGGTGACCTCAGACACCTCTCCCTGCCCCGTGCCTGACCCATTGCTGGCCCTGGCCCTCGGAACCTTGCCCCAGTAGCACCTAGAGTCTGCCTTACGCCTAGAAGATGTGGCCAGCCGAAGACCCCTTCACGAATACCTGTCCTAGGGGGACACCAGAGCCTCACACCCCGGATACCAGGCCAACACCTCCTCTACTGTCCCCTGCCGCAGTGCAAGGCAGGCTGGCAGCGTCAGCGGTCCTGAGGGTCAGGCCCTGAGGCCCAGCGATGGTGAGCCTATGGCACACGTGCTGCAACAGGCTGTTCACGTCACCGAGAGCTCTGAGGGTTTTGCCACCATTGCTCCAACCTCTCTGAGCTAGAGAGGCTGAGAGGTCGGGGATGGGAGACAGCAGGTGGATCTGGAGGTCCAGAGACAGCCACAGAAACATGGACAACCTGTGCTTGTCTTGGCCCTGTGCCTAAGCCCCCAACACACACTCTCAGGCCGCTTGTCCTATGCTCCCTCCTTCCCTGCCACCTGCACCTCCCTCACTGTCATCCACCCCAAACCTCAAAGAGAAAGCACCGGTGCCTGTGAGTGTGACTGTGGAGGAGGGGCTGGGAGGAGGGCAGGGGCCTGGCACAGAGCTGAGAACACCCGGTCCCTCTGAGATTCACCCCTGAAAGCCAGGCCCTGACCCGCAGGTGCTGGGAACCCCGCCGCCTGCCGGGGAGAGGGAGCTGAGTAATCACAGGATTACTCAAACTGTTGCCTGGGAGCCCGGCCTGCCAGGAACTTACCATCTCAGGGCCTGCTGGTGCCAGGAAGCAGAGCCAAGCAAAGGTCAGGAGCTGAGCTCCCACCGTGGCCTGCTCTGTCACTTGAGGAAATATGTACCTCACCCGCCATGGCGCCTGCAGCCCTCCCCATAGCGCTCTCCCCGCCCCAGGCTGATGGAGACAGCAGTGAGCGCAGAGCCCACTGCCCCAAAGGAGAGGGGTGCATGCCGACGCTTCCCGAACTGTGCACTCCCAAGACAACCCTGGCCTCCTCTTAGACAGGTCGCCAGAGGAGCTTGTGAAAACGTAGGCCCAGGGCCATGGGGCGCAGCTCAGTAAGACAGCGCTTGCCCCGTCCACACGAGGCTATGCTGGATTTCGAACACTGTGCAACAGAACAGAACACGCGGGCCCCTCATCGGGAAATCTGAGGTGGGGCTCAAGAGTCTGCATTTTCAGGGGTTGCCAGATGACACCTGATCTTACTGGTCGTCAGCCTACACTTTGAGGAGCAAGAATTCGGGCTCTCTGCCTGCTCTGCATCAGGCTGCTCCATTTGTATTGTTTATTTTGAGACAGGATCTTGGTAAGTTGATCAGGCTGGGCTTGAACTTGAGATACTCCTGCCTCAGCCTCCCAGAGTGCTGGGATTACAGGCAGGTGCACTATGGCTCACTGAATGGAACCCCAAGCCTTATTTATGCACACTAAGCGCACCCTCTCCACCGAGCTGCCCGCTCAGCTCGCCCAGCTCACTCTCATCTTTTCCCTGCCATTCAGCGTGAACTCCAAAGCTTCACTGTGATGCAGCCCTAGAAAGAAAACACATCTCCCCAGGATCGCCTCAGACCCGGGGGACTTCCTACGGGCTTCCTCCTCGAGCCTTCGTGAGGAGAAATACGGTAGAGGCCAACCTTTCCTACCTCCAGCCCCTCTAATCGCTCCTTTCACAGCTGTGAGATTCATTGATAGGCTTTTTGGATGTATCCAGAGCCACCCTGTCCAGGTGCCCTGTGCCGCAGAGAGGAAGTGGTAGGGGCGGAGGGGGGCTGCCGCCTGGGGATCTCGGATCTCTCTCCTTCGCGCCAGTCGGGGGTACAGACCACAGAACCGTCAGGCAGAGGAGCCCTAGGGTTCTCTCCCCTCCCGAAGCCCTGTCAGTCTGGGGCGCCCCTCGCTCTCGAATAGATAACTGGGTAGGAGAAGCAACCATGACAGGTGCGGGCCCCACGCCAGACTTCAGATAAAGCTTGTTTCTGTGACACTGAAGATCGAGCCCATTGTCTTTCACATAGTAGGCAAGAAAGTGCTGCACCCCTGAACTGTGTCCCCACTGTGTGAGCCCAGCAGCCTCCTGAAGGAGGTCCCGCCAGAATGGCCCCATTTCTCAGACGAGTTTATTGAGGGTGGAGAAGGCAAGAGGCTCATGGAAGAGGCAGAGGCAGCATTTGAAGCTGGGTCTCGGTAGCTCTGGAGCCAGTGCCCTTGGCCATTGAGCTGTGTACCTGTGAGAAGGAGATGCCCACTCCCCCAAGAGCAGGCAAGGGGCAAGGTTAAGGGCTGCTGGTGAAAGGTGTGGGTATGAGCGTGGTGGGCTGGGAAGGAGTCCACGGGGAAAACGCACAGAACCACAGCCAGGGCTCCTATCTAGGATAAAGAGCTAGAGAGACGTCCCCTCTCCTGCACATTTTCCTGTGTGGTGCCAGCCCCCTCCTACCTTCATCCATTTCTCTAAGGCCAAGGCGAGCCAGGCGTGGTAGTGCACGCCTGTAATCCCATCACTCGGGAGGCTGAGGCAGGAGGATTGCCTCGAGTCGAAGGCCAGCCTCAGCTATATAGCAAGACCATGTCTCAAAAAAAAAAAAAA